AAAAAAAAACAACAACAAAGCACACATCCCCTTGTTGGACATCAATTGGAGGAGAGGCCTTTGGTCCTGTGACGGCTCCATGCCTCAGTGTAGGGGAAAGCCAGGGCAGGGAGGCAGGAGTGAGTGGGTGAGTGGTTGAGCACTCTCATAGAAGCAGGGGAAGAGGGGATGGGATGGGGGTTTGCAGAGGGGAAACCAGGACAGGGAATAACATTTAAAATGTAAATACATAAAATATCCAATAAAAGAAAAAAAGTAAGTTTTTACCACCACAAAAGGATATTTTTAAAGATAGAAGTTAACTTACATCTACTTAGAATAAAAGTCTCTAAATTCTCAGAAAGAAAGAAAGAGAGAGAGAGAGAGAGAGAGAGAGAGAGAGAGAGAGAGAGAAGAAAGCCAATATGTCTGGTAGGCAGTGCCTGAAGTAGAAACGTCTTCAGAACAAGATCAGAGAAGGAAGTACGTGTGGGCCAGTTCAAGAAAGATCTTGAAGAGAAAAATGGGGGATTTGGATTTCATTCTCAATGTAGTAAGAGAGCTACAAGCCAAAGTATAACGTGTACTCCTTAAGCTTCGTTCTTTAAAGAGCTGCCTCAGCTGCTACATGGTTCAGGACTATAAACCAGAGAAGGAAGGAGATAGTGGAGTCGGCTACAGTGATGATTGAGTTGCAACACCAGAGTGGTCACTCGGGCACTGGAAATGTCTTTGCTACTACAAAGAGCCTTTTGCAGGGGCATTTAAAAGTTTTATTTGCTTTTATAGCTCTCGAAAACACCATCGTGGCTGCTGTTATTATACCCAGTTCTGACAACGGATGAAAGGAATCCAGTCCTTCCTCTTCTACTGCAGGGCTTCTGGGTTTCTCTGCTTCAGCCAAACGTTCAAGTGAAGCACAAATTGTGAAGTATCTCAGAACTTTTAACAAGCCACAGGGAAAGCAAGAAATATGATATTACACAACAGGGTTAGGGCAGGAGCAGACCCAGCATTCTCTCCTCCCACTTACGGTTTCACCTGCCATCCCGTAGTTCCAGGATGCCAGATTTGTTCCCTCGTATCTCTCAATACTTCCTCCAAAAGTACTGATCTGTGCGGCAGTCACCCAGAAAGAATGCAACAAACAAGTAAGGGAAATAATTAGTGGCTAATTAACCTCAAGAGTTTGTGAGAAACCTTAGCAGAAGTTTGCCTGAATATTTTGTGCTAATTGAACCTGTCCCTCATTAGTGTTTGTGTTGTGTGCTACTTCTGTGATGAATCATGGGTAAGTAGACTATGGAATCCTAGGGTAAGACACTGGTAGAAACGTTTGGTTTATTATAATCTAACTCTCCGATTGTATAAGCTACATCTTTAGGTAATTTCCCCCACATAACTTACCAATATCTGATACAAAGGAAGACACCTAGGCCACCTTTCCTCACAAGGCTAACTGGGGGTGCACTTGTCTCACCACTGTCCCCAAACTCTTAGTCTCCTCATGCCAGCACTCCCCACACTTCGGTGGGCTCTCATTGCCTGTGATTGTCTATTGAGACCACTCCCCTGCATGGGTGTTCAATTATCTTCAACTATTATAACACGTCTATCATGAGTAAACCCAACCATCTCTCTCTGGCAACCCTCTAAGTCTAATTATGAAATGACGGAAAGCACATGATTGACGGGCTCTGTTAAGTGTGAAAACACTGACTTCCAAGACCTCTGGCTCTTTCCTGTGGCCCTACTAAATTACGTTCCCACTCTTGAGCCACCTTCACCTTTAACCTCTACCTCTGCAGGTCCGTAACACCATAGTATCCTCATACTAAGGAAACAGAAGCCACCAGAAGGAAATTACAGAATTTCCCACCAAAGCCACACACACACAAACACCTTCCGAGATATCTGTAGCAAACACCAAATTCTCTATTTAGACTTGTTGAAAGTGGATTCTGGAAGCAACGAGGCCCTCCCCAGCCTCAGCCTCACGAACGTTTATGTCAAGTGCCCTCCAAAACCCACTGTCTTGGGTCAGGCTGGCCCTTGTCATCTTTAACAGACATAAGTGTAGTTCATCCCATGGAATAAAACGTCTGTACGGGAACAGGAAACACAAAGCTCTCAGCCAGGAAACCAAGCTGACCACCGCAGTGCAGCTTCTCCAGTTAATTTCTGATGGGTGTCGTACATCTTGATGACGTCATCTTTGTTTGCTCTCTCAGTCAGGCCGCTCCATCCCTTGGTTCGTGATTTGATGATGTTGGGATCCATTTGCTGCATTCCATCTACCTGCTGTTTGCTAACTTGTTCTTTTACGTTTGTTTGTCGCACACCTAACAAATTCATCTGAAACGGAACATGTATCTTAGATCATCCCCAAGGCCACACAAAGCAATGCCACATTACTTATACACTTCCCTGCTATTGAAGAGTTCCCTCCTGTGTTCCTTTTTGGACTATCCTTCTCCAGCATTTCTTTCCTATTGTGGAGCATGGTTCTTACATAGGATCTCCACCCCCCCTACTATCTATCTTCTCTTTCTACTCCATGTAAGTAGCAGAGAAATTTTGTTCATGGCGCTGGGATCTGGATTTCAGTGGGCAGTTTTTCAAGATGCTCTCTCTCTCTCTCAAGAGGTCACTCTTATGGGTACTGTCACCTGATGGTTCATTTGGCTTCCCATGTGATAACTAAAGTTACTGGCTAGAGTTACTCTGTTCTCTTCTGTACAGGGTTTCTGAATGAAAAGTTCCAATGCTAAGCAGAGTAGAAGACCGTTCCAACTGGGAATGAGCAGCAATGATCTGTGGAGACGTTGTGGAGATGCCGCATCATTTCCAACGCAAGGTACAAAGCCAGCTCAGATTTAGGAGACGGAAAACAGACATCAAATCCTCTTTGGAGAGGCTGCAAAGAGTTTGTAGTCATACTGTACATGCTTAAAATCTACAATATCATGAAATACGTTTACATATTTAGTCAGATGCCTTGCGGAACAAGTGAGCATATCCATTCTCTTACTCTGGTACCTTGGCTGTCGTTGATATGACAACAATCAAGAGAAATTGAGGAAAAGCAATACCTCATTTGCTGAGAGTCCAAAGAAGCGTACTTAAACTCTACACGGATTTGTTTATGGTGCTCATGTGTCCGTGTTGAATGTTCTGAGGAAGAGCTGGGCCTCTTGCTGTATTGTCTATACTAATCAACTCTCTTCAGAGTCCCCCCTCAAGTAACACTGGAAATCATCTAAGAAAGTCTGCTCCTCTTCCCTAGCCTCTAATATCTCAGACACACCTCAGTTTTGAAAGCAAAGTCACTCTTGAGAATATCTGTGGAGGGTGAGGAAGAGGGAAGGGAGGGAGGAACAGCTGAGTGCGTGCAAGAAGGACATTTATTCTGAGCAAGATAACAAGTCATTTTAAACACTCATTCAACTAAATCATAAAGTATGTGGAAGTGGCAGGGTTTCAAAAATTCCTCAATGAATATAAAAGAGAATTTAGATTATATTAGTCAGCTTGGGAAGTAAGTGGGAGAATCTGACAGGAGGTGTGTCTGGGTTTGACTAAGAAATTGGGTAGAAAAAGAAAGTAATAGATACAAATTAGCTATTTAGAAGAAAGGGTGCTGAGATGGGGCCTTGAAAATGTCAGAAGGCGGCTTAGCTAATGAGGGAAAAGATCTAAAATACCATGAATATTCTAATGTGGGGAAAATTGTCTTCTCTTACCGGTTTGCTCAAAAATGTCTTTGTAGAGAGAGCATTGCCTTCAAGATTCCATTGTAAATTCATTAGCTGTAGGAACAGATTAACTGGGCTTAGGTTTGTTTGAGGAAGAGGTAAAGTCCTCGGCATTCAGCATATTTTTAAAAGAAGAAAAATGTTTTATATGAACAGAAGAAAACTCAGATGGCCCAAGTAGAAGAGACTTGTTGTATCTGAAGGAAGACACTAGGCTCCTAAGGAAGGGGAAACGGTGGTTTTTAAAAGCTGCATACAGGGCTGAAAGGATGACTCAGCGACTAAGAGCACTGACTGTTCTTCCAGAGGTCCTAAGTTCAATTCCCAGCAACCACACAGTGGCTCACAACCATCTGTAATTCATACAAGACTCCATAGTGGCTGGCACCTTGATCTTAGACCTCTCTACTTCCAAAAGCAACATATTTCTGTTATTTCAGTAATTAACCCAAATTAACGTATCTTATTTTGACAACAAGAAATACTACTAAGAGACTGTACACTACAGGTTGTATGAGGAAAATACTAAGGGGCCTAGCTCTGCAGGCCAATTAGTGACAGAATAAAATCAAGCCACCCAGCATTCCATGTTACAGAGCCAAAAATACAGTTACATTTTTTTTTCTGGTGCTAGGGATTGAACTCAGGGCTTCACATAGGCTAAGCAAGAGCTCTACCATGGAGCTGCCCTGCCTCCATCTCCAGTAACTTTTGAGAAACAATTTAACCACACAATCACTAGTTTCTCCTTTGTCATTAAATACATTATATCATTTGTTTCATTTTGTTTGTCTGGTTTTTTTTTTTGAAACAGAGCTCATTATATTGCCTAGGAAGGCCTTAACCCTAAGAGCCTCCTTCTAAGTCCCTGAAGTACTAGAATCACAGTCTTTTTCTCCCAGAAGAGATTTTATCAAACAGATTAGGGTTCCATATGAGTAGATATTAACCAATAAATTGGAAACATTAATTCATATGTTAGCTTCTTTTTCATTTATATATTCACATTACTGTGGGGAAAATTTAAAAAAGGCCGCCACAGCGGCGCAAGCCCGCCGCCGTGGCGGGTCCCCACATCAGGGAGGGAGATCCTACGGTTCCAGCGGCCTGAGGGCCTTGGCAGCGGCAGGCCCCAGTAACACGAGGAAGTCCTTGGTTCCAAAAAGGTTTATTGACATGACGGATAATAGATGGATCTAGGCGTATCCCCCAAAAACTCAGGGCCGTCCCGAGTTATATAGGGAGGGAGAAAGGGGGAGGATTAGGGGAGGATCTGGGGGAGGAATGTTTAATTTGCTCTGCCCTCTGGCCTTCATTAGTATGTAAATCTCTAGGGCTTGAGGCCTAAAGCCTGGCCTATGTGACTCTATGGAAATGTGGCTGTTTTCAGGATCCTAGATGATGGGAGGGACCGAACTCCTGCTGGTTCTCATGAGGAATTCCACAGAGAATCTCGGGGTTCTAAGTACCTGCTCAACCATGACCCAGGATACCCTTATGCAGTCCCACACATTACATCCTGATGACAGCCTCACCTCCTTCCTCTCTTTTCAATCCCACCCTCACATGTCCCTCCATCCATTACCCCTTTCTTTCTCCTCAGAAAAGGGGAAGCCCCCCTCAATGGGAAATCAAGTCTCAACCTGACTAACCTCATCCTCTTCCACTGAGGCCAGACAAGGTAGCCCAGCTAAGGGAAGAGGATCCAAAGGCAGGCAACAGAGTCACAGACAGTCCCCTCTCCAATTGTTAGGGGACCCACATGAAGACTAAGCTGCACATCTGCTACAAACATGTAGGGGCCTAGGTACTGCCAGTGCATGTTCTTTGGTTGGTAGTTTAGTCTCTATGAACCCCCATGAGACCAAGTTAGTTGATTCTGTAGGTGTCCTTGATACCCCCAGGTCCCTTGGTCCTTCCCCACTCTCTGTCCCTACTCTTCTACAAGACTCCCCAAGCTCTGCCTACTGTTTGGTTGTGGGTCTCTGCATCTGTTTCCATCAGCTGCTGGATAAGGTCTCTCAGAAGACAGGTTCCTGTGTGCAAGCATAACAGAGTATCATTCGTAGTGTCTGGGGTTGGCTCTCTCCCATTGGTTGAGTATCAAGTTGGACCAGTCATTAGTTGTTCATTCCCTCAATCTCTGTTCCATCTTTATCCCTGCATTTCTTATAGGCAGGACAAATTTTGGGTAAAAGATCTTGTGGGTGAGTTGTTATCCATCTCCCTCCACTGGAAGTCCTGCCTGACTATAGGACATGGCTACTTCAGTCTCCAAATCCCCAGATGCTAGGAGTCTCAGATAGGGTCACTCGTATAGAGTGACTCCCAGGAGCCTCCCCTATCCCAGGTCTCTGGCCCTTCCCAGAAATACCTCCCACTGATTTCTGTTCTCTGTTCAAGCCTTCTACCATCTTCCTCTTCCCAGACCTGATCCTTACCCTAGTTCCCCTTCCCATCCTGTCTCCTATCCAGTTCTTTCCCTCCGTCTACCTCTAGTGTCTATTTTAAGTCCCCTTCTGAGTGAGATTCAAGCATCCTTCCTTGGGCCCACCCTGTTATTTAGCTCCTTTAGGTCTGTAGATTGTACTTTATGGATAATATCCACTTATAAGTGAATAAATACGATGTGTTTCTTTCTGGGTCTGAGTTGCCTCACTCAGGATATTTTCTAGTTCCATCCATGTGGCTGCAAACTGCATGGTGTCATTGTTTTTAATAGCTGAGTAGCATACCAATATGTAAATGTACTACATTTTCTTTATATATTCTTCAGTTAAGGGACATTTAGTTTGTTTCCAATTTGTGACTATTAAAAATAAAGCTCCGCCGGGCGGTGGTGGCGCACGCCTTTAATCCCAGCACTTGGGAGGCAGAGGCAGGCGGATTTCTGAGTTCGAGGCCAGCCTGGTCTACCAAGTGAGTTCCAGGACAGCCAGAACTACACAGAGAAACCCTGTCTTGAAAAACCAAAAAAAAAAAAAAAAAAAAAAAAAAAATAAAGCTCCTATGAACATACTTTAACAAGTGTCCTTGTGGTATGTGGTCCCTAATTTCAAGTTTTACTACAGAGCAATAATAAAAAAAAAAAAAAACACTTGGTGTGGACATAAAAACATACAGGTTAATCAATGGAATAGAATCGAAGACCCAAAAATAAACCCATATGGACACTTGATTTTTGGCAAAGAACCCAGAACCATATAATGGAAAGGAAGAAACCATCTTCAACAAATGATGCTGGTCTAGTTAGATGTCTGCATGTAGAAAATGCAAGTACATCCATATTTATCACCCTGTACAAAACTCAAGTCCAAGTGGATCAAGTACCTCAACATTAAACTGCCCACACTAAATCTAAGAGAACAGAAATCATGGAAACTGCCTTGAACACATTGGTACAGGAGACAAAAGACCACCAATAGCTCAGGAACTAAGCTAAACAATAAATAAATGGGACTTCATGAAATTGCAAAGCTTCTATAAGGCAAAGGACACCATCATTAGGACAAAATGGCAAACCTACAAAACAGGAAAAGTGTTTTACTAACTCTATATCTGACAGAGGGATGACATCCAAAGTATAT